TAAGAGAATGCAAAGAAGTGAAGGAGGTCCATTCATCTTGCTTGAAGCAGGTGACACCAGAAGACCGGGGCAGACAGGTGCACTTGGGGTATCTGACACACTCGACAGCTTTGGCTTCCTCTGGCTCAGCATTCTGCCCCGGGACCTTTATACCCTTGGCTGATAATTAATCCAATCAGAGGGGTACGTCGGCTTATCTGCTGTGTGCTCAGGAACAACAGAGGGGCGTGGCCTGTGTGTCACCCATCAATGCCAGACACCCAGCACCAGTCACATCTGATTAGATCCCCGCAATCAAATCAGAGCGCGTGACGCCAAAATATATCCGACCGGCGCATGTGACATCATCAACCAGATCGGCGCAGGTGACATCAACCAGACCGGCGCAGGTGACATCATCAACCAGACCGCCGCAGGTGACATCATCAACCAGACCGGAGCAGGTGACATCATCAACCAGACCGGCGCAGGTGACATCATCAACCAGACCGCCGCAGGTGACATCATCAACCAGACCGGAGCAGGTGACATCATCAACCAGACCGGCGCAGGTGACATCATCAACCAGACCGGCGCAGGTGACATCATCAACCAGACCGGCGCAGGTGACATCATCAACCAGACCGGCGCAGGTGACATCATCAACCAGATCGCCGCAGGTGACATCATCAACCAGACCGCCGCAGGTGACATCATCAACCAGACCGCCGCAGGTGACATCATCAACCAGACCGCCGCAGGTGACATCATCAACCAGACCGCCGCAGGTGACATCATCAACCAGAACGGAAGCGGCAGGACCACGAATGGAGAATGTTCAATAAAGTGACCCAACTCAGCAGAAGGAGTCGCGATGTATTCGATGGCCGCCGTTCACATCATGCTGACGCAAAAGCCTTAACGCACGCAAAAACACCAGTGCGCAAAGACGCTCAGCTGAAGTGTGAATGGGGCCCCCGGGGGTAGTCCATATGGGGGGAGGGGTCATACCTCCGATACGCCATAGCGTCAGGCTGCGTTTGATGCGTTTAGTAATTCTGAAAGCCTGCGTTTATATTTTAGAGGATGGGGGAATCGCCGCAGGTGACATCATCAACCAGAACGGAAGCGGCAGGACCACGAATGGAGAATGTTCAATAAAGTGACCCAACTCAGCAGAAGGAGTCGCGATGTATTCGATGGCCGCCGTTCACATCATTCTGACGCAAAAGCCTTAACGCACGCAAAAACACCAGTGCGCAAAGACGCTCAGCTGAAGTGTGAATGGGGCCCCCGGGGGTAGTCCATATGGGGGGAGGGGTCATACCTCCGATACGCCATAGCGTCAGGCTGCGTTTGATGCGTTTAGTAATTCTGAAAGCCTGCGTTTATATTTTAGAGGATGGGGGAAGGGAAACCAGAAA